ACCTTGAAAGGGGGCGGCTCGGGAAAACCCGCACACGTGGCAAAGGCTGCTGGGTCCTTCAGGGCTTCCACATCTCCTTCCTCAAGAAACTCCTCCCTTAGCTGAGCACAATTGGGGCACTCCAGAAGGCGGTGGAATAGCTGGTCCACAATTGGGGCACTCCAGAAGGCGGTGGAATATGTGGTCCTGGGGGGCCCCGCATATGCACGTGGTGTCAATGTCGTAACCTGCTTCCTTGAGTCTACACTTGGTCCATATCGACTGGGTCAGGTACGAGACGAGAACACTTCGATCTTGCTTAGATAATCTTTTATCCGCAACTGCTGCTTTGGCGTGTGACAAATCAATTGCTGGCACTCCTATCTTGATGGCCGCCTGCTCCGCCTGCCTGTCGTGCCAAGCTGCCTCCAGCATCTGACGAATGAGCGCTGGCGAACTGGTGGTGAGCGGGTAGACCTCGCCCTCCCCACTCATGAACTCCATGGGGCTGGTCCATGACCAGCCAACTCTAGGTAGACTTAAATACACCGCCCCAAGAGGACCTCGTATGTTTCCCCATCCCGAGGGTGGCTTGTCCAGGATATTGGCCGCCATTTGTCGGAGTTCGGGCAGGGTGAATTCTGATTTCCTAGGGTCTTGGGCGGCTCGGAAGACTATGATGCTCCAGTACATGCATGGCCCCAGGGCGGATCTCCAGGTAGGGTCCTCAAGGATAGCGAGCGACAAGGCCCGAGAACGCGTAGCACACTTGGGCCCAGCAACCTTCAAGAACAGCGATTGAGCCTCCTGGAGCTCCTGCACAGACATCCCAAGAACTTCAGTCCCAAAATAACCAGCTTGCTGGAGTCCCGTATTCCAAACCTTACGAGTGTCAGCTCCAGCAGCACGAAGGGCGCGCAGGCGACGAAGTCTCAACTTCAACTTGCAGGCTCTTCCTTTTAAAGCTTTCCTTCCCTTGCTCCTTAGTCTGGCTCCTGCAGTGAAGTCGACTCCTAAGTTAGTGGTTGCCGTCTCGGCCAGACCAGCCTGGGGGCCAGCCCACTGGCCGAGCTTGGCCGCAAGATCGGCCTTGATCATCGGCGTCGAAGCCACAACAGCAGCCTTGTGCTTAGCGATATCACACTTAAGATCGACAACGATCGACTGATGCATACTGGCTGAGGCCGTGACTAGATCTGCTATCAGTTTGTTCGGCTTGCTGTTGTGGCTGGCAAGCAGGAAATCGTCAATGAAAATGGTAGGCTGCACTCTGGGGTTCTGAGCCACCCAGATGTCGATGGGCGGCAGGCAGTACTGCTGTACAACAAAAGTGGCGGCCCAGCAGCCTGCAGCTATACCTCTCTCTGGGCAACCTGCAGGTGGGGCTGAGGATCTCGTGGCTACTGTCCTGGGCGCCTGGTACTGGTTGCAAATAATGACTACCAGGGAATCCGAGAAATTGGTATCCTGAGCTCTGTCCCTCCAGAGTCCCCTATCCACATATTCATAGTAGTTGGATAAATCCCAAAGAACAGCAGCTGAGAAAACTTTCTTGTCTCCCAAGAATTGCCCTTCTGCTTGCATTGCTTGTTCGAAAACAACTTCCAAAACACCTTTGCCAGCTTGATGAGCTAGATATCTACGAGGGTGAGCGCGTTCCCAGGCACGAAACTCGAGCTGACGATGCTTGCCCCAAACTCTCCAAAGACCAGGCATCATACCTATACCCCTGTAGCTAGGACCTGGGTTAGGACCTGGTTTGTGCTTTTCGATCAGAACCGTCACGATGGCTCGTATCTGCGTCGGAAAGGCCCCTATCCTCTCGATGGACCTAAGGAGCCTACACACAATAGCCAGCTGGGCGTCCTCGAGGAGGCTGAAGTGTCTAGGGTGGATCCCGTCCCAGGTCCTAGCAGTGGTACTACTGAATTTGCGGCTGGCTGCGCGCAACTGATCTGCTGAAATGTCTGCAAGGTCTTCACCTCGCAATTCGGCTTGAAGAAGGGCAGGCTCCTCAGGTCGAGCTCGCCGCAGCTTACTTAAACGTTGCTGTTCCGCCTCCAACATATCGATCGGACGACCAGACCAGCGGGCTTTAGCAGAACTCCAGACTCTTGAGGGCTGCCAAGCCGTCAGTCTACTACTCCATCTGTGGGCCCACCCAACACCTTTCCCCATGGCTTCTGTGACCCAAAGTTTCCAGGATTGACGGTCGTCGGAGCGGTCCCTGGCGATTTCACGGCCCAAAGCTTTTGAAATCTCCGAGTCCAGATCTTCGAAAACGGTGGCGATGAGCTCGAAGTTGGGCTCACTGTGGGTGGCATCCAAAAGGGTAGCCTGAATACGCGTGCGTACACTGGTTCTTAAAGCTTCAAACTCTGCGACTACTTCCAAATCAGCAGGAGGTGAGGCGAGGTCGAGCTGAGCCTGGTGGAGCTCCTCGAGGTCCTGTTCCTCCACTCCCCTCCTGATGTTGGTTACTTTGTTCCTTAACCATCTAAACGTAGCAGCTGCATTCCTCCAACTCCTCCTATCCTTGGCCTCGACAGCCTTGGCGGGTATCCATCTTATCGTTGGCACCTGAGCTCGGCGCCTCTTACTTTTGAGCGGCGTGTCGGTAACGATACTGAGCGTGGTGGACATGTCGTCCACTAGGTAGCCATACGCCGCGTCCACGGCAGCAACTAAGGCATCGAGCGAAACTGGCTGAAGAGGAAAGCACTGCCCCGTGTCCCCAAACACGGCATATTGATCGCGTTCCTCAAGAAGTCCCTCCAGACAATCCAGAGCCCCAAGACTTCGAGACCACGGTGGGACCATGTTGCGAGGACCCACAGGGGCGACCACTGGGATGAACTGAGGCTGCTCCAGGACGGGAATGAGATATGGGGCCCCAATCACCATATCCAACACGACTGGCCTATGTGGACTACTCGGGTAGTCAACTAGAACTTTGGGCTGCTTCAAGAAGTGCTCGAAACAATACGACCCCATGAAATAATCTATAATTGTCTTTGACTTCTTAGTGTACAATGTGTGCGTGTCTGGAACGATCACCTGGACCCCAGCCCTGGTCGGGAACTCCGTTTCGATCACTTTGGACGGGCACACGTTGAAATCTCCTGCTAGCAAGAGCGGCAAAAGGTGGCCGGAGGCGGCCTGCACAACACTGGTCAGCACTGTGAGGTTCTCCTCATTCAAGCCAACGGAGTCGGCCAGATACAGCGATCCTAAACAGAAAGGTTGGTGACCTGGAGCCTCAATGCTGACGACAGTAGCCCGAGACTTCTGGAAACCTTCAGGAAGAGGTAGTTTGGTAATTCCAAGATCTAGGCCAGAACGTACTAGTACTCCAGTACCCTGACACGGAAAACCCTTGGTACTCAAAACAGCTGGCGACAAAATTGCTAACCATCCCCTGTTCGCACAACACTCCGTTTCTTTGACCAGATCATATTCCCGAATGCGCGTCTCCTGGCAACAGATAATCTGGATTTCCTTGGCCTCCTTGGAAACCATGAACTTACGGACTCCAGACCAACTGCTACAATTGAACGTGCATATTCTGAGGTTGTTACCCATCCAACGGCTTAGCCTCACCCGAGCCTGTGCCGCCAGGTGCAGCAGCGGCAAGACGGGCCTGGCGCTTGGCGAGGCGGTCCTGCGCCCCCTGGGCCTCCTCGCTGAGGCAATGGATGCCCGTGGCGGTGGAGAGGACCAGGTTCTCGCCGTTCCCCGCGTGCTTGCGAATGACGCCACGGTGGCTGTCATCCTCCATGGCGGCTGCAGCAGGCCCGAGCCCTTCTCCAGGTCTATCAGGTGGAGTGGGCGTCTGGACTGCAACAGGTTGAGCACCACTATCAGGCGCCCCAGGTTGAAGCACTTGCGGCGGCTGCTGCTGCTGCTGCTGCTGCTGCTGGTGTTGCTGCCACTCCTGCTCCAGCTTCTCGTTGACCTCCACGAGCTCCTTCTTGATGTGGTCTGGCAGGCCCTGCGGGAACCTACTGTCCACAAAGTTGAGCAAGGTCGTGTCTTCTTTGTTGTCAGGGCCATTGAGGCGAGCTGCCGCCTCCGCCACTGCTGCCTTCGCTGCCACGCTGTGCTGAGCCTCCAGCTGGGAGACCTCGGCGAGCAGCTCCTTGTACGATTCCACGGACTTGTCGTACACCTCGGCGGCCTTGTCCAGGCTGATGAGGTTCTTCTCAACTTCGCCCTTCTTCGACTCGAGCCTGCGCTTCTGCCGCTGGAGCTGGTCGGCCAGCGACTGGGTCTTGGCGTCCAGCGACTTGCCCTCGAGCGCCTTGGTCTTGGCCAGGCGGAGGTCTTCGCAGGCCTGGATGTACTGCTTCCCCTCTTGGCCGACCGTCTTCTTCCAAAAGTTGACAGCCTGGATGCAGATGGCCACGTCGTCCTTGGCTGGGTCGGTGCCCTCTGGAGCGAGGGACGTCTTGGGACCATGATCCTGCTGCTGTTGAGCCTCATGTCCACGGGATGCACCTCGGCTGCGAGACCACCTGTTGCGGGGGGCCTGCTGGGTGCTGCCACCATCATCGTGTCCTGCCGATTTGTGACCTGCTGGACGGGAGTGATGAGGCTGAGGCTTGAAAATGCGTCCGCATTCAGAACAATGCTTGTGACCACCATGCCCTTGCCAGGTCCATCCCCAGCAGCTGGGCGTCTGGCAGTAGCATTTCTTCCACTGCTTGTAGCCTCCCATGGCTGCGGGGAGACTGGGTGCTGGCCGTTCGCCGCGGCGACCAGCAGAAGAAAGAAACTGAGGTTGTGCGTTGCTGGAAACCTGGGACCGAGGCAGCCTGGCCTGAGGCGGGCTGCCGTTCCACCTCGGTCCTCGAGCCTCTTGAGCCAAAATGGCTTGAGCCAAAATGGCTACGGAGAAGGAGGAGGAGGAGGTGGAGGAGGAGGAGGAGGAGGAGGGGCGCTGGGCGCGCTGTACCGAGAGCCGCGGCCGAGCCGCGGCGGTTGGGCCGGGAGAGGCGGCGCGCCCCGAGCCCCCTGTCGAGAGGACCTCATCCTGCAGGTCTTCCGCGCACTGGACCGCGACGAGAGCGGCACCGTGGGGATCCAGGAGCGGAGCTCGGCCGGGAGGTGATGGGCCACTTTTCCACCACCTTTACTATAGATAAGACGGGGGAGAAGGGAGGATGAGGAGGTCCTCCTCCTCTTCCTCCTCCTCCTACGGTTTCTACGGTTTCCAGCATGATGAATGTTCGAAGCGTATCAAATTCAACCTGCATGATGATAGAGCGCGGGCGGACGGCGGCTCGCGGCAAGGCGCGGAGCGGGGCCTCCTCACACCCGCCACCGCCGTTTAGCGGTCGCTGCCAGATTCGCTGGAGCTATCGCCTCTGCCCCATTTCCGGGCACAGTCATGCTTTCGCTCGAACTCACAGTATGGGTCTAGGGGGATATTAAACCCGAGAGCCTCTTGAGGGACCTCCCAGGTCCTGGGGCCGACCCTCGCCCTGGCCTCAACCCCGTCCCACATACATCGAGCCAGCAACTTGCAGAACTCAGAGGGGTATTCCTTCAACGCAGCTGTTCGGAACTCCCCCTGCTCCCCACGGCCAAGGGCCTGACGATGCCGACCAGGATGGTTGCACCTCCCCCCCCCAGGCCCTTCGCGGACCTTTATCCCCAGAGAGGGAAGGTGGATGGTCAGAAACGTAGTATGTTTCTCATCTGGTTTGGCCTCTGGAGGTGGCCGGGGCTAGGTCGCGACGAAGTTAATATTAATAACCGGAATCCACAATGTGTATCTTGTTCTTGTTATCCTAACGAGACAAAGGGCCCTGCGGGAAACGAGTCCCTTGGCTTTCCCATGTTTCGTTTCTGTCAGGAAACGGCTCAGGAAGAAGAGTTGGTCTTGCGGAGTGGCCCCATGGTCTAGGACTTGTTTCCTTCAGGACCCATTTCTAGAGTGCGAATCAGGAAAGCTTGCGGATAAGACAGGGATGAGGATTGGGCTAGGACAAGGATAAGGATAGTCTAGTACGCGGATGAGGACAATACAGGACAAGGATCATAATATCGGGTTCGAGCCAGGCGGGGCTAGAACATGGATAAATCACCCCAAAGCGCTTCGGAGCGTTCAGAGCGGTGCCGAACGTTGTGAGAAGGCTGCTGCGCCGGATACATCCTCCAGAACCGTCGAATCTCAGATGTTACCTATTCCCCTGTCCGATGTTGTCCTTGTTCCGGCTTCTCAGTGAGAGAGACTCTCCAGGGTGCAGAAGGTCATGGAAATAATGGTGGCGCATACCAACAGCAGCCCTTGTCCACTTTGGACAGGACTCGGTGTCGGTGTCGCCGTTGGCTTTGCCGATTTGAGCCGGCGTGGCAGAAGCGAGCAGAGATGAGGAGGAGGAGGAGGAAGTGGAGGAGGATGAGGAGGGAAGAGGAGGAGGTGGTGGTGGAGGAGGAGGAGTAGGAGGAGGAGCGAGAATTCCTGGGCAGCTTCTGGGCGGGATAGACTCATGGGGAAGATGCAACACCCCCCAGTTGCCCGAGCATCTCCGAGAGGGGCCCGAGAGGCCCACCCCGCCCAGGAACACGCGCGGTTTCGCCGTCGGTGGGTTCCCGCCTGTGCTGGCAGGGGGTGTTTTCTGGCGGGGAAATGTCCAGCCCTCGGCGGCGAGAAGCCGCCCTTCCAGGGCTTGTTTCGATTCCTCCGATTCGATTCGATTCGAATCCGGATTCCGATTCGCGTGGATTTCGGATTGCAAGCATACCAGCCTGCCGGTTTCTGCCGATTCGATTGTTCCCGACTTGTCTGCCGATTTCTGCCGATCCGAATCATCTCGATCGCCGAGCCGACTAATCGATTCGATTCTGGGCTCTCCTGCCCTTCTCTGGAGGGTCAGAAAGGCAGGGCGCCGCCGAAAGACCCCGCACACCCCTCTGCACAATGACACATGATGAGTACTGCAGTCCACCCGCATAATAAGGATGGGCAACCTTTCCGAGGGTAACCACTTGCATCCTTGCCCGTTCGGCCCATCCTTAGCGACTTTCACTGGCCAACCTCGTTCGAACATCGTCCACATGGGCCTCCAGGGCCCATCCGTCCTTACCGCGCATCCTTATGAAACGGTCTGACTGTACACGTTATGAGTACACTCTCCTCTCTCCCCTGACCCCGTCCGGAAGGTAACAGTGATACTGGAGAGGGCTTACGGCCGGTGCCACCGACCCTGAACAACGACGACGACGACGACGACGACGACGACGACGACGACGACGACGACGACGACGACGACGACGACGACGACGACGACTACACCGACGGCGGCCGTGGCGGCGGCGGCGGCGACGACGACGACGACGACGACAACGACGACGACGACGACGACGACGACGACGACGACGACCACGACGACGACCACAAGACGAAAACGACGACGACGACGACGACGAGCGCTCTGGGGGGCCTCTTGGGAGTAGTTGTGGGGCCTCTTGGGAGGCTCTCTGTGGCCTCTTGGTAGCCTCGTCGGGGTCTCTTGGCGCTTCCTGGGGGTCTGTTGGGGGCTTCTTGGGGCCGCTTGGGGGGCTTCTTGGGGCCTCCTGGGCTGTCTGCACTCCCTCGTGTAGCCGTCTTCGGGGCCTCTTGGGCTGTCTTGGAGGCCTCTCGGGTGGTCTTGGGGCCTTCTTGGGTAGTTTTTGGAGCCTCTTTGAGGCCCGTTGGGCGATCTTGGGGGCTTCTAGGGCTGTCTTGGAGCGTCGGGAAGCCGACAAGGCGAGATCGCCAAAAATTTTCAAAACCTGGAATAACAGTTGTGATGTTTGCCCCTGGGGGCCCTCTTCGGAGGGCTCTTGGAGGCCTCCTCGGGCGTTTTGAAAACCTCTTGAACCGTCTGGAGGCTACTTTGGCGCCTTGGACCGATAATTCAGCGATTCGGGGCCCCTAAGCACCATCATGGGGTCCTCTTGAGTCACTCTTGCCGCGTCTTGGGGTTTTTCTGGGCCCCGGATCCGCCCGGGGGGGATGCGTATTTGGGGGGCAATCCCCCCCCCGGGACCCCCCCCCCCCCTGGCGGGGAGGGGATCAAAGGGAAGCGGCTTCTCTGCGACTCAGCTACGACGTTGCTCAATGTCGGTTTGGCTGGCTCGCTTAAGGAGGAGGGCCCAGGAAAAGGAGACGGGGGACGACGGAGACGACGATTGACGGAGACGACGAGGAGACGACGGAGACGCAGACGATGACGACGACGGCGACCCGCGGAAGAGCGTCTTCCACTCGCCGACAGGGTCGGCGGATTTCTTATCGTGCTGTACAATCAGATTGCTTTCGTTGTTTCAGAAGTGTGCTCCAGCTGCATCGCCGGCCTCAGTTTCGGATCGGCGTTTTGCTCTCGTCGTTCACGGTGGCTCTCTTGCCCCAGCACGGGCCACTTTTCTGGATCCGATTCCTTTTGCGTCGTCGTCGTCCTCTCATTTCCACTCCTCGCCTTCCCCTGGTCTTCCTGCTCCTCCGGCTCCTTCGACTCCAGCTCCTGCTGCTCATCCTCGTCCTCCTCCTTCCACATCCTCCTCCACTCCCTCCTTCTCCTCTTGCTCATCCTCCTGCTCACCCGCAACGTCATCCTGCACCCCCTCCTCCTCCTCCTCCTCCTCCGCCTCCTCCTCCTCCTCCTCCTCCTCCTCCTCCTCCCTGTGCCGAAGGTGAGCATGGCCCCAGTGTCGAGTACTCAGGGAGGGCACACGGGGCGGCCTGTAAGGAGACACACACACACAAGAACACACAGTCTCCGATGAGCACCTCCCTTGAGCTCGCTGGGGTTTCGCCACAGGGGCGACACAGGCCAAAGGGGGTCATTTGGGTTGTCCCCAAGACCCAAACAACCCCCCAATGAGGCTCCATCACCCCATGCACATACAATATGGCGACAACTTGCTCACATAGCGCCAAAGCCGCTGGCCCGTAGTACCCCCTTTGGGAGGTCGCCTGGGCGGTCAGTTTTGTACTGGGTACGTCACCACGGCGCCACAAACCAGGGGGTTTGTTCGGGCTGCACCATTGGCCCGAAGACCCCCCCCAGCACCGGGGCTATCACTACGGTCGTTTTCCTTTGTGGGTGCGCCAACAAGGCGCCACAAACCAGGGGGGGTGTTCGGGCTGTTCTTTTGGCCCGAAGGACCCCCCAAAAAAACCGATGTCCACCACCATGCGCACTGTAGCCTACGTGGGCGCCCTTGTCGGTTGTCGGTTGCGCCATCAAGGTGCCACGTACCACCTCGGCAACCGTGGCTCACGACGGCCCCGCTGTCGGATGATCAAGGTCACGGGGGTTGTTCGGGCTGTTCCTTTAGCCTTCAATCCCTCCTCAATGCAGCCACTACCATTGGCGGACGTTCTGTGTTCTGGGTTCGCCCACAAGGCGCCACTGACCAGGGGGGGTGTTTCGGGTTGTTTCCTTAGCCCGAAGGACCCTACAAAACGGAGCCCAACACCATGTGCACTGTAGCCTGCGCAGGCGCCCCCGTTGGCTGTGGGTTGCGCCATCAAGGCTCCACACACCACCAGGGACGCTTTGTCTCCTGACGGCCCCGCCGTTGGATGCTTAAGAGCGTCGTCAAGGAACCGCCAGTCAGTTCGGGCTGTTCCTCTGGCCCGAAGGACCCCCTAAATGGTGGACGCCACTGTGCACACTGTAGCCTATACAGGCGCCCTTGTCGGTTGTCGGTTGCTTGCGTCCTCAAGGCGCCACACACCACCATGGCAACCTCAGGGTAACGATCGGTTCGTCTTCTACGTTTTCTTCGCTTTTCTTTGTTAGGCACCCGTGCATCCTTGGTTTAATTTTCAGGGGGTCGGGTCCTCACCTTTCGGCTTTCGGAGGCCTCTGGAAGAGGTGGCGGGCCAAAAGGAAGGGCTGCCGCGCCCTGCCCCTCCAAGGGTCCACGGGTGGGCACGAACAGCCGGCCCATGAGAGCCGAGCCCGAGTTCCCGTTGCGCCACCAGCGCCGACGCCTTTGTCCTTCTGTTGTGCTTTAAGCCACCTGCGCCCTGTGGGCAGCCTGGAGGCCTCCTGGGCTCCAGACTGTTCTTGGTGGTCTGTTTAAGTTGTG